CCAAGCCCTCCCTCTCCTGCTTGAACAGCCAGCTTGTCCTGGCCCGTAGTGCTGGCAGACTGGTAACTCTGGCCCTACAACAGGGATCCACAAGAACAAGAAATGGTTAAAAAAAAAGTCCACTATTGTAAATGAACAGAAATCAATAAATGACTGTTGGCTTGCTTGCTTTGCACAGACTATATATTCCTATCCCTGGCTTATTTCAAACTATATGCTTAGATGTGAGCTTTTCTATGGACACAGACCACGAAGGAACGAGCTTCTGACAAAGCCTGGGAGATTCCCAGCTGCCTGGGCTGAAAAGCGTTTCCCACTGTTAGGTATAACCTGTATCGTCATTTCGGTACAGACCAATTGTCACAACAAGGGAATTGCAGTCCAGAGATTATATATAAAGACCTGTGCCTCGATCTTTGACTTTTACAGAATTTGCTTGAAGGACTGTGGCATATATTTAAAGGAAAAAGTTTGTAAGGCAAAACACTGGAAATTCTATACGATGCCTGCACTCCAAGTTTAACAAGAATGGCAAAACCACCACATACTATATGGAAAATCCATAACTGTGTTGTACTGATGACTAAGAGTACACCCAAGTGTTAAGTGATGCGCAGATACCTGCCAGGGCAACCCATCCATAGGCAAAGGTCTTCTGAGCTAGACATTTTTCAGCTTGGACAAGCATTTCTTTTTATTTAGCAAGGGGGGAAAAGAGGGTGGGTTAAGAGGTTTGACAACAAAAACTTTGGATCACAAAATGCATACTCTTTGAGAAAGATTAAATCCAGAGCTAGATCTGTCTCTGGCGCTTGGGTTCATTTTGTCAACAAAATAAGAATATATCACAAACAAGTCATTCAACAAGAGACAAAGTACTGACCTCCTTCCAATGACTTCCTCTGGATCTGATCCAGGGGTCATTAAAGTAGTGAGATCCAAGGGACCTCTTATCATACATGATTTCAATTTTTTTTTTTTCAAATTGCCTCTATAAAGCCTTTTACTTCAGTGCCAGAACCTCCCTCACATAAAAAGTCTAAAAATGGCAGCTGCTTCTGTTTTCACTACAATCTGTTTTCCATAGTCATACTGATGCACTCTTCTATGCATACATGGCAATTTAATTCTACAGAACGCTTAAAGAACGAGCTGCAGTGCTACGATCGTCCAGCTCCTGGTTTAGAGTCTCTAAAGCAGCCAGAAAAGAAAAAACCCTCACCAGCATGGGTAAGCCATGGGGAAGAGACGCAGAGCTGGTGCCTTGGCCATCTGCACGCAGACATCGGGTCATCTGTGAGTGCAAAACTCTGCCCATGGAACTCTTTACGTGTCCTACCTCTTGAATAGACCTTTGGGAGGGCATCTGAGTGAAACCCATGGAAATCAAAGGAAACTCAGAGCACAGTCTCTGTCTGTCCAGATTTCATCCTGCAGCCCAGCCTGAGTGAAGACAAGTCTCACCGAGGTGAACGCTTCTCCCACCTTCTACTTGCTCACAGAAAAGAGCCTCAGAGGACAGAACAGGAAGAGCTTGGAGAGACACAGAATCAGCTTAATGACAAAAGCACCTTTCTCAGAGCCCCGTGCCATGCCCGGCCACCGTTCCCACGCAGGAGGTGCCCCTCTGCCCCAGCCGTGCTGGGCTGGCAGCGGGCGGGGGGGCTGCACGGGGCTGCAGGATTGTGTGCGCGAGCACTCGTTCGTCAGAGGGCACCAGAGGATTTTGGTTTTTTTTCCTGGCTGCATGCTAAAGGCGGCTTTCCCTCTGAACAGGCAGTGCAGTCTCCCTGGTATCTGAATCCCTCTTAGTTCAGCCCAAGCTCTGTGGGCAGCAGGACCGAGGAATCACACAACGTGAGGATGGGACTAATCCTGCCCAAAGCTGCAAATCGGGAGGTTGAATTTTACCCTGGGAGGAATCTCAGTGGAGAGACTCACATAAACAAAATTGCATATGGGCATGTGGATCTGCAGAATTAAGGCTTTCATATGTGTTATAAACATACCTCTGGGGGTCTTCATATTTATGAAGCACCCCACATTCCCAAGGCATTTCACAGGTTATATATACACAGAGTATTGTCAGCCAGGTCCTGCTTTAAGAAAACATTTCTATTTGACACAGCAGCTTAATTATACTCGTAGAAGACCTATTGAAAATAATATTATTTTGGTACAAGTCCAAAATTAGCTGTAAGTGCTTTTCTTAAGAAGGACAGAATAAAACATTTACTTAAGTGCTTCCCTAAGTTCTGGCTTCAGTGATGACCTGGCTTTGCACTCGTTATCGCTTAATGGCTCTCAGAGCTGGAGAAAACTTGAGGACAAGTCTTTCCTGACCAAAACTGCAGGTAGAATTGGGAAAACAAAAGCAGAGACTCCTGATCCAGATTTGCTAGGAGGACTCTTTTGAAAGACCCCAACATGGTGATATGTAAGAGTGTCTCACCCAGCCTAGCTCCCCGTACACTGGCCAGCTGGGGACCCCAGATCTAGTATGGGATACTTGGGAAAAGAGCATGCACACTTGTGATCCCTCTCCAAAATCCTTCCCCAGCTCCCCTAGCAATACGGGCAGGGTCTCTGTTACCATCCCTGTGACGCCCCTTTGAGCACAGCATCCTTTCATGATTTCGCTGGGTGAAAAACCCAGTTCCGTACCGAGCTGGGAGGTTCACCTCCTGCCTTGCTTTTCCACAGACCTCGCTTGCTCTGCTGTGCTGTGGGTGATGCCGCTATGGCAACAGATAATTGGTCAATCCATCCACTGAGATTAACTTAATTAAGTTTGTGAAATAAAACAAAGACTTCACAACAGCTCTCCTGAAGCCCACACAGTTCGTCCAGGAGTTTTTTTGTCTGTGTGCTGGGCTGCAGTGGGCGGATGTTAAAGGATTGCTGACAACTCGGACATCATGTTCGTGATGTTCCTGTGACATGTAGCACCCGGGCTCCAGCGCTAGAGAAGAAACTGTACCCGTGTGTGTACTTTCCACAGAGAGACCTGACTGTGTATAACCAGCTTCACTCCTGCAGTCATTTGAGATTAATTTCATTCCTGTTTGAAGGGCCAGTACCACTGAAATCCCATTTCAGCATTATTTCCAGCGCTTAAGTGGAGCTGATGTGGTACCTTGTGCCGGGGTGAACTTCACTGTCAGTTCCCCTGACACTGTGAGCCTTTCCCACAGCAGTGAGGAATACAGAAGATATTAAAGAATAAGGAAAATATGATTACAGAACCACAAATATTGGCAACACTGACCTAGCTGTGCCCTCCGGAACCATCTCTTTCTTTTTAAACCAAGCAGATTTCCAGCTGCCTGCACCTCTTTAATTAAAAAGAGATGTCCTTTCAAATGGCTTATAAAAATGTAACAGAGCAGTTCCGGATCACGGTTTTGAAGGATTATTAGGCTGTGCTCCTTTGCCTCAAAGTTATCCTGCAATTTAGGGACTAAGAACACCAAAAAAATTCAGCTATAAAAGTAACAGAGTTCTAACTGGACCGAAAAGCATGGAGTATTATTTTTCCTTCTTCCTGTACTAAAGCAGCAAGTTGCCCAAAACTTTAGGGATAATTCTAAACACATTTATTCCTGAATAAGACTTGACACACTGAAGTTTGGCTGGGAGTTGGTTTCCACAGCTAACAAGTAAATCCACAAGGAGATTAAATGCAGCAAGAACCCTAACAGTTGCATTTTGAGATGCTGCTATGACACCATCCAGCCAAAATGTTTGACCTCTCCATGAAATTTCAATGTAAGATGAATTGTTGAGTCTATGGACTTACTCAGGAGGCAGTAATGTGATTCAAATCATCTGACTGTCAACAGAAACCATTTACTCTTATATAACAGTAAGCTAAAAATGCTTCTTCACAGTTGAGTATTTTGCCTGAAAAACAAAATTGTGTGCTGAACAAGAAACAACAAGCTTTTCTCTGCAAAGCACAGTTCAGGATGAAATAAATAATAATCACAGGTTGTTATTATTTAGAGGTTTTAAGTTGTGTTACTTCTGTTTATTTCCAAGTTCCCTCCTCCCTACCCAAAATATTTTGGTATATTTCTCTACATACAAAAGCATTCCATTATGTTTGCGACAATGTTGGCAGGGACTCTGAAGGGCAAGGAACCATCTGAACTCTTGTGTTTGGTAACAAGCAGGCAAAAACTGCCATAAAAAATAAGAAGCGAAACACATTAAGAAAAAAACCAAAACAAAACAGGAAGTAAACATTTCAACCTGCTGCCTCCCCCTTCATTAGCAACTCAACCCTGACAACAGCATCTCCAGACCCTTTCTAAGAATGTTCTTACCATCCGTGTAATGCACAGCTGTTAACAAGCTGCCTCTGGAAACCCCTCAGACACTCCTTTAGCCCACTGGTCAGACTTTGGTCTGTAAAATTAAGAAAAGACACTATGTGATGCTAGATCTTTTCCAGCTACTGAATCGTGACTTGAAGGAAGGCCATTAATGCCCTGACACCTGCTAATAGCGTAAAACATAGCAAAGGGCCGCAAGGATGGAGGGGAGCTTTAAGCTCTTCTTTTTCTCCTTCACACTGTATGATACTTGTCTAGAACAGAGCTCCTAAGTAAGAGCCAACACAATGCCATTTTAACCCAAATCCCAGCAATCTGTTAATTCAGAGCTCTCTTACAAATAGAGGCTGCCATTTCCAAGGCTCCCACTTAACGAAAGCAAGCTTCACGTGAATGCAGGGTGCCGGTGCTCCTGCTTCTGAAGCCATGTGTACTTCCTGCAGAAACAACAAGGCAATGATAAATCCTGGAGTCAGATCATGATGGGACCAGCGAACGGGAATTCAGATTTCTGGATTGAACTCTTGAAAAAGCTGGGGTCAGTCAACAAAAACAGAGCGTCCATCCATAATGAACTATAAACAAAACAAACAAACATAACAAACATACGTCTTTTCAAAAAAACCAAAACCCCGAACGAACAAGTGTAGAAAACACTCAAGCTGTCATTTCAGTTGCGTATTTATGAGCCACTGAAGAGTTACATGACTGCTCTCAAGCACGTGGGTAAACTGGAAGCATTCATCTCCCATGTGCACAAAATGAACGTATGTAGATGATGAAACCGCATCCAGGCAGACACGACTGTTGCTATTGCTTTTCAGGACCATCTCAGAATGGAGTGTGCAGGAGTGACAGTACTCTGGAGGCGTGTGCATGACTGGTCCAAATCCTAGAAAGCTGACACAGTCCCTCCCTGTGACCCTCCCCTGAAGTTTACTGTCGGATCTCTGTTTGTATTTCAAGACTTCACCTCTTCGCAGTCTTGATCAGTAGAAAGCTCCACATCGGACAGTCCAACCTCCATTGCCATAATCAATGAAATATCTGAATCACTGCTGACTGCTGGCTCCTGTTCATCTGTGAGAGCAGAAAAGACAAGAAAAAGGCATTACGGTCATGTCACTCTGTCAACGTATTCCTATTTTTCACTTCTGCAGATGGGACCCAAAGGCAGATCCAGGTTTCTCCACCACTGTGGTTGCACTTGAATTTCATATAAGCTCATATTCAATATCTGTCTAAAGCATTTCAAAAACACCAGAAAGTTCAAGCCATCAGTAGCAAGAAACATGATGACAAGGAGCCTGGATGAGCTCTTTCTTCTCCTCCTCATGCTCCCAGGGCTCTCCATCCAAGCCTTTCCTCTCCCTGACCTTCCTCCCACCACCTGGGCACTTCCCTCCTATCCCCTTTCACCTCCCCAACCTGGCATCACGCTACTCCCTCCCCCAAAGGCAGCAAGTTCAGGACAGAGTCACAGGCACGTGGTGGAGCAGGTTGGCCATCAGGAAAATATTTCTAACAGAAAAAAAATCTGCCCAAGCCCTCATTAGGTGACAGAATCTCTGTTCACGGAGACTGTTAAGAGGGTGCTAGGCTAGTGTCTGGAGGGAGCAATATGTCTGGAAGGTGTTGGTAATTCTGTCCAGGACTCAGGACCAGGCTACCTGCCTTCTCAGGTGCTTTCCCTCATCCTTTTCAAGCCTCTTTTCTGTTTACCCTTTCCTCTGACTTGAAGATACCTCACAGGTTCCTGATCCAGGACAAAAGGATTTGCCTTAATCCACCCTGATCCCAAAAACAGCAAGAGTCAGATTACTGACTTTTGCCAAACTGCAAACCCCATCAAAACTACAAGCATAGGAGGAGTAACTTATTTTTGCTTTCATCCCGCAGCACTTACTACAAGTGTACTTAGGAGCAGATAAAGCCAACAAATTTTAACGGACTAAAAGCTAATTTTATTTCAAGAAAATTTGGGAGAAGCAAAGCACACTGGATCTCTGGGGAGGAAAAGTTGATGTTTCATATTTTCAAGTGGTTTAATTACAGTGACGATATTTATACTGTAACAATACAATGTATTTAAATCTGTGGCAGTTTTTCCTTTACATATTTTATTTTTCAGACAATAGAAGCAGAGCTTGATTGATGCTGAAAAGTCTAAAACTGGAATAGCTAAGAATTATTAAATAAAAAACATTACAGAGGAGCCAGGAAAATAATAACTCCTCACAGTTTAATTATTCACTCGAAGCTAAGTGAGCACAATTAGTCTCCTCTCAGGAGCTGTATGATTTTTAAATGTGTTTTAAAGAAAAAACATGTATTTACTTGTGCTGGGATTAGACCTCATGTTCTGCGGAGAAAGCTTCAGTGGAGTCTGCATTATTCAAACTGAAGGAGCCAATGCTTTCTTTCACAACCCTTCTGAATTTTCACCCTAGATTATTTTTATACTTTCTTGATTGCAAGATAAATAATTAATGCACACAACCTCTTTATATCTGTATTTTTTTTCCTATCAATATGACAGTAGTAAAAAGTTTCAAGATGTTGTTTCTGGCTATAAATGTTTCCATAGGAGGTGGAGAAAGTACTTATGAACTGAATGACATCTCACGCAGACTAGATCCAAGAGTACTGAAGTGCAACACATATACCTGCAGGACCTAAAGCATCATCCGTAGTGGTGACAGCTCCCTGAGCCAGAACAACGTGGTTCCAGACCACTGGATTACTTACCATTCCTCTATAACTAATAGGATTCTTAAAAACAATTACAATGATGGTTTAAATGCTGACCCAAGAGCAAGTTTACATTTGCATGACAGCGTTCCCAAGGCTTAGCCATGTTAAACAGCTCTTGGAGCACTCCTGAGAGAAAGGTGATTTTCACCGGAGCTAGCTGTGCAGGAGAGAAGAACTGGTTGAATGGCAACGCATGCTGAAGAGGCAGGCTAAGCTGCCAACACCAAATGTCAAAGCACCAAATGAGAAGTGTTTATGGTGCTGAAATGTTATTTCAAGAATTGTTTCTTCCAGGGCTGCAGCAGAAAAAAGATCTCAACTGAGTTCAAGACAGGCAGGCAGGACGGAAGTAGACTTAGAGCTCACCTAACAACTTTCTAACCTATGTACAGGAGCATCCACTTTCCAAAACAGCAAACTTGAGTTTTACATTGAAAATTCTATAAAATTACTCAAATTCATGGATTGTAATCTTTCCAAACTGTGGGCTTTGTAGCTTGTCTTCTTTGGAACTGAACTACCCATCAGTAAGAAAAATGAACAAAGGATCCTAACAATGCCCATGCCTTTCCCCTGGCATTGCTTTTCGAGCTAGAAATATGAAAGGTGGAGACCCTCCTTGCTTCCTAACAGCACAGCGGTTCAAAATCCTAAAGCTGCAGACTGCTGCTTCAGCAGAGTGGGGAGAAAAATGGACATCACCACACCTTCCATGTTCCCCTTGGGGGAAGGAGTCAGCACCGACATTTCTTTGCAAGATGCAGGCAACAGAAGGAAATTAACGCATCCCTCAGTGTTATGTGCTTGCTCTTGTAAACAGGAATCCTGTTACCGACCCCAATGTGCACAGGATGGAACTCCGGAAGGCTGCAGAAGTTACGGCACACAAGGATCCGCTGTAGGGAACTCGGTGCAGACCTGGCTGCAAGGTCTACAAACCGCCTCACCGTGGCTCCCCCACACAACACAGGCTTTCTAGCCCGTGGCGGTTTCTTTTTTTGTTGTTGGCTGGCTGCTCAATAACGTGAGCCAGCACAGTTAGTGACATTTGTTAAAGGTAAGCAAAGCTCAACTAAACTCCAAGTGCCAGGAGCTTACCCTGCATTTTGCACCCCTGGTTTTTCGATCCTATTTACGATGACAAAGCTTGTACAATCACACAAGATGCCTGACTCACTATTAAGAACTTTTATGACCTTTTTCAAAGTTTTGTGAAATCTGGTGTTTTTCTTACAGCCCTGAAGTCAGGTAAGGATCTCAACTTTCAGTGAGGTCTCAGCTTTCACTAAAAAAGAACCTTAAGAAGTGAAAAGGAAATAGTTTTTTAAAAGATCCCTGATTTTTAGACAGATTTTATTCTGGAGTATCTGACTTGTGATTTTAGATATTTGAGACTCCTGTCTAACAACATACACTCTAATACTTCTACTGTGTTTTATAGCATCTCATGCCACAGGCACAAAGCCTTTTGCTTAATGAAGCAAAAGGCAGATCCCAAGCTGGTTTTCAGCCCGAGTGCTAGTGCCTGCAGCAGGCAACTGTAGACCTCGCTGCCACATGCCTCTCATGTCAGCGAAACACAATCCACCGCAGCACGCTGCCTCCTTCCAGACAGACTTTTTCCACGCCTATTCCCTGACACACATTGGTTTGAGAGGTGCAATAAACCAAACTCCTTCTCTAGCCAATATTACGTTAAATTTCATTACGCTAATGCAGGAAGAATAGCACCATGTAGATATGGCACTGCCCTACACAGTAGTCATACAGACTTTACTTGTTGCAAAGTTCATTAACCGATGTTAATATTTGAGTACATATACTCATGCAGTCAAACAAGGAAGAAAATAGCTAATTACTCTAGTGCTTTAAAAACAGTAAAAATGCATACTAGTAATAGTTTGCTGCTGCTGCTGCTACTCCTAACGTTTTGAGTAAGTCTGTAGCTGTTCTACACTAATAAATATTCCAAAAGGGAAAGGTCAGACGATGGGTTTCTAGGAATTTGATACTATTGGCAAGAGTCTTGGGAAGGACCTAAGCATTCAGAAGTGAGTCAAAAAGTGCATTTACACAAACATTCATGTACCATGCTCAAGCATACAGGCATGGGCACAAATTGAGATATAATAACCCACTCAAGGATGAGGAACAAACCGATGTAACTGCGGTGGCTTGGGCACTCACGGAGGCCTCCCTCCTGCTCACACTGTGCTCCTCCCAAGGAGGCTATGTCTGACACCGTGCTCTCATGTCCCTAGCCCATGGGTTGTGCCGTGGGGCTCTCCTAAAATTGCTCCTGCTTGCCCCAGAGGCTGAGACTTCCTCAAGCTCACGGAACTGGAAAAGCTGCAGAACCTGATGACTGGGCTAAAAGCTCCACAATCAATTTGCATCCACGAAATCAGCAGAAAAAAAAAGAATACACTGAAATTATGTTCAGCAAAAGCTTCTCAGCATTGAATGCGTATAAGTTTTAGCTAAGACGACAGACTTTTTTCCTTCTGTAGACTTTCAGGTGTCTCTCTGCTATTACACCCACTTGTCAGTAAGCAGAGAAGTATTGATTATTACATGTCAAATGAGAGCTGCCACCAGGTGTGTAATTCATCTACTGAAAGTGTAACTAAAGCCAGCAATCTCCTCTTCTGGTGGATTAAAAACGCGGCCACAGCAATAAAGCATTCAGCTGGGAGTCAGTCTCCCTTCTCTCATTTATTATCAGTGCTCTGTGAACTAATTCAGCATCCTCAGTCCTGCTCCGCACACAATTAAACGGTTGCGCAGAGCTGTGCAGCTGCTAATGGTTTTCTTCATCTTATGACAGTCACAGGAATCAGAGGGTAAGAAAAAGCTGCTAGTGTGCTACTCACTTGGGTGTAACCTATTTGCCTAGCTACAAAGCTGAGCATCTAGCGCAAGAAATAAATCTTGTTTTGCACAGATCTTCTGATCCTGATGGTTGATTCCCAGCTTTGAGGAGAAATGAACAATTATTGATTTCTTCATCTAATTAAATGCTTTGAAAAATTTATGAGTTAACATCCCATTGTTAGCTGGCAGAAACTGTACAGAAGAAAATGGGACTTTGTCTAAAACCTTGTTTTGACAATAAATACACAGCAAAACTTGGACCTGATTTCACTATTCATTTCACATTTTCACTACTGTGAAAAACACCCTATTTCAGAACTCTTCATTTTCTGAAGACAGAACTAAGCCAAAACATGAAATCCCTGGTGACAGGTATGCCATCAGATCTAGACAAATATCAAAAATTTAGGAATCGGCGTGAACCTTATTCCAGCCTGGGGCTCACTTCTGCT